GGAGCACGCAGTGCATAATGAGAAAAAAAAAACTCCGACCGATTTTTTTAATTAAAATGCCGACTTTGTGGTCTATTTTCGTATAGTATTTATGGTTGTATTCTCGTTTTCTTGGTCTCATTTGATAGAATGGAAAACATATTATAGAAATAGAGGTGATTTTGATTGATTTTACTATAAAAAGAACCTAGAAATGGAGCTCAAAGTAGGGGAAATTTTTGATTTTTGCCAATGTTCAAAAGTAAACAAATGATGCCATTGTCCAATAAATGTCCAACTAGCCATTCTAATATGCAGTCATGAATGGGTTGATGTTATTTGTACAATTATTACAGTATTGCAGTAGTCTGCATAATAGTAAGTCTTCTATTTTTTGTTTGAATAAAAATTAAAAATAGAAAGCAAGAGTAATATCAGAGGGGCCTGGAGACATGACTGATGAGCAAAGAAAATGTTATTTTAGAGCCAGGAATGTCTGCATTGTTCATTCTGGACCTTATTTTGAAATTGTCGTATTTTTTAGTTTTCATGAAATTGGCCAAATTGCAAATTTCTGACCACATTATTAGGTAGTTGAAATCGGTAAATGGGCAGTTTCTTGTACTCAATCAATAGAAAAAAATGGAGTTCTAAAGAAATAGCTATGAGTTTGGGCGGCTGGAACAATGGAATTAGCCGAAAATAGGGCTCAAAGTGGGCGAAATCGCCGATTTGTAAACAGCGCCGAGGTCGCTAACTTCGCGAGAGCATAATTCCATCAGTTTTCCATCAAATTTCGTTTTTTTGGTGTCATTACAATCTGGAAAAGATTCTCTATCATTTCATAAGAAAAAATAATTTTTTTTTTTTTTTTAAATTTTGCGACACCAGGAGACACCTCAGGATTGGGGGTTGCGACAGTCAAAGGGTTAATTCTCCTCATTAACTTCACATCATCTGCAAACAGGGACACTTCTGAGTCTATCCCTCCCGTCATGTCGTTCATATATACCAAGAATAGTACTGGTCCCAGGACTGACCCCTGTGGGACCCCGCTCATCGCCAGCGCCCACTGTGATACCTCATCACGGATCATGACTCGCTGTTGCCTCCCTGTTAGGTATTCTCTGATCTATTGCAGTGCCCTTCCTGTTATATGTGCCTGTTCCTCTGGCTTCTGTACTAATCTCTCTTGAGGAACTATGTCGAAGGCCTTCTTGCAGTCCAAGAAAATGCAATCAACCCACCCCTCCTTCTCATTTCTTACTTCAGTAACCTTGTCATAAAACTCTAGTAGGCTTGTGACACACTACTATTTGCCTTCCATGAATCCGTGATGGTTGTCGTTTATAATCTTGTTCCGCTCCATGTGCTCCACCACTCTCCTCCTGATAATCTTCTTCATGACTTTGCATACTATACACGTCAGTGACACTGGTCTATAATTTAGTGCTTCGTTTCTGTCTCCTTTCTTAAAGATGGGGACTACGTTTGTCTTTTTCCATACTTCAGGTAGTTGCCAAGTTTCAAGGGAAGTGTTGAAGATTTTGGTTAGTGGCACACGTAGTGTCTCTGCTCCCTCTCTAAGGACCCACGGAGAGATGTTGTCCAGTCCCACCGCCTTTGAAGTATCAAGGTGTGTGCGTGTGTATGTGCTTGCGTGTATGTATATGTTTGTACGCTTGTGTGCATGCGCCCTCGTGTGTATGTGTGCGCGCGCACACTCATGTGGGTGTATGACCCACTTAATATTCGTATTTATAACTCATTACAATTGTGACCGGGTGTGGACATCTCAGTGGCTCATTACTTTGTAATTTACCATGTATGAGAGTGAGGATGATTCATTACCTTTGTAACTTGCCATGATTATGACCAGATCTACCTGGAGTTTATTATCGTTGTAACTAGTTCAGTTATCATAACTTTGTGGTCCAGTCCCTGGACCCATTATGTACCTCTGTAATCTTTTGACTACCGCCCACAGGATGGGTATCGGATGCATAATAAAGATATTAAACTAACTGTTTAACCTTGGGTGTTTGATCCTTTACTCCCCCCCCCTCCCCCATATTTTGGGTCTTACCCCTTGTGGACCCTTAGCTCTCCTGCAGTGCTCCTCTTTCTTGGCCTTTGACTGACTACTACTTCCTTTCCTACTACCTTAGGCTCCTACCTTCACTTTTTGCTTCCTTTTTTCTCTCTTCCCCTTTCTATTCTTGTCCTTCCACCACTCTCTGTACCTTACACTACCACCACTTCTACTACCAACCTTACCTCAACCACTACTACTACTACTTCCACTTCCTGCTTCACCTCTACTACTACCACTCCTACCTCTCTTGTCCTGTCCCTGCTAGCTGGCTTGTATATACTGCCTCCTCCTCTCCTTTCTGTTAGTGTGACTTTGTAAATGATTCAAGTCGGACCAAAATGTTGTCATAAGCTCCTCTCTCCTATGTGTGGGTTATTTGTGTATTGTAAACCTCATTACTATCTATGCCACTGACCACACACTCACCCACCCAGTCACCCATTGTCCAATCACCATCCACCAACAATACACCTCTCACCCACACCACTTCCCCACAGCTTCAAGTCCATGTGGCCCCACTCCTGCACCATACCCATGCTTTCAATTTCACCATTCCCACCACAGCTTCAAGGCCACATGACCCCAGACTCATGCCTTACCCAAGCTTTCGTAGCCCACACACACACTAACATGCTATCTACATACTTTGTCATGTTGCCATCCACCACCCTAATTATCACCCACACCAACTGTATACTCAACCCCTGCATCCACAAATAGGTGAGTACACCCATCATCCACACCACCCATTACCCACACTGGACCACTGACACTGCCACCCACATGGTTACCATCATGCAAGGTGCCAGAGTGGGCGCCTGTGACGAGCGGGGTTCCACAGGGGTCAGGCCTAGGACTGGTGCTGTTTCTGGTATATGTGAATGACATGCTGGAAGGGATAGACTCAGAAGTGTCACTGTCTACAAATGATCTGAAATTAATGAAGAGAATTAAATTAGATGAGGATCAGACAGGACTACAAAGAGACCTGGACAGGCTGCAAGCCTGGTCCAGCAACTGGCTCCTGGAATTTAACCCCACCAAATGCAAAGTCATGAAGATTGGGGAAGGGCAAAGAAGACCACAGACAGAGTATAGGCTAGGGAGTTAAAGGCTGCTAACCTTACTCATGGAAAAGGATCTTGGGGTGAGTATAATACCAAGAAAATCTCCTGAGGTGCACATCAACCAGATAACTGCTGCAGCATGTGGGTGCTTGGCAAACCTAAGAATAGCATTCTGGTACCTCAGTAAGGAATCATTCAAGACTATGCACCATGTACATCAGGCCCATATTGGAATATGCAGCACCAATTTGGAGCCCACACCTGGTCAAGCACTTCAAGAAATTAGAGAAAGTGCAAAGACTAGTCCTGGAGCTAAGGGAAATGTCCTATGAAGAAAGGTTAAGGGAAATGGACATCACAACACTGAAGGACAGGAGGGATAGGGGAAACATGACAACAACATATAAAATACTGTGAGGAGTTGACAAGGTGGACAAAGACAGGATGTTCCAGAGATGGGACACAGCAACAAGGGGTCACAATTGGAAGTTGAAGACTCAAATGAGTCAAAGGGATGTTAGGAAGTATTTTTTTCAGGAAGTGGAGTAATCTGGAAAGTGATATAGTGGAGGCAGGATCCATACATAGTTTTAAGTTGAAGTACGATAAAGTTCAAGGAGCAGGGGGAGAGAGGACCTAGTAGCGACCAGTGAAAAGGTGGGGCTAGGAGCTATGACTCAACCCCTGTAACCACAGTTAGGTGAATACAGCCTGATTGCTTCCAGCCTCCACCTCCTTTCCCCACACTAGCCTCCACCTCCTGCCCCCACACTGGCCTCCAGTTCCTGGCCCCACATCAGCCTCCAGCTCTTCCTCCACACCAACCTCCAACTCCTGCCCCCCACACCAACCTCCAGCTCTTGCCCCCACACTGGCCTCCAGCTCCTGCCCCCACACTGTCCTCAGTTTCTGGCCCCCTATCAGCCTGCAGCTCCTCCTCCTCACCAACCTCCAGCTCCTGCCCCCACACCCATCTCCAGCTCCTGCCCCCACACCCACACTGAACCCACTCACCACCACCACTCTAACCCATTGTTTATACGCTCTAACCTCTGTAACCCCTCCTTTATAACTTCCATACGGTTGCAGTGAGTAGGACAACCAATGTGGTTGCCAGATCTTTGACACACAATCTGATTTACACTTTTATCATTTTTTTTAAATTTTGAGACCTATAAAAAATTTGATTGGCTGTTTTGAGGGTTTAAATAACGTAACCTTATTTTTCCTGTGTGTTTTGTAGTTTATATGTTTTTTTGATGATAAGCTGTTTTTAGGAATGTAGCTACTGTGTTATCTGATGGTCAATTGTATGTGGATTCTTTGTTCTTTTCCCGTGCTGCTGCATGTATTATTAAAAGTTTTGGAGAAAGTAATTTTATTCTCAATGAACAAATTTATCAGTACATTTATGTATGTCCATATTTGTTTATGTGACTTTGACCAGCAGTGACAGTGTCCATCCCAGAGTTCAGTGTTGTTAATTATCTCAGCACAAGATGTATGGAACCTCTGCCTCAACATTCACATTTTATGCTTTTAGTTGTTGCAATCACTGCACTTTGGTACCACGATTTTTTTTTTTACAACGAACCGGCCATATTCCACTGAGGCAGGGTGACCTAAAAAGAAAAACAAAAGTTTTTCTTTTTAAATTTAGTACTTTATACAGGAGAAGGGGTTATGATTGTTTTATTTTTTATAAATATATAACATTGTATTAAGACAGATGTATATAATAGGGTCTTAGATTATTGTGAGTGATTGTAATATACATATTGCTGTTTGAATCAAGCATACAGGATTGCACATACTGTATATAAATGCTTCCTAATAAAAATTTTGTGTTCTTTGTACAGCATCATTCCCATGCGAGGCTGAAAGTGGAGTCTTACATGAAGGTAGCATTTATTCAATTGAAGGTCAAAGTATTCAAGTACACTCTCTTCAGGGTACAGTAAAGCAAACCCTGAACTTCACAGAGAGTGAAGGTGAACCAATTGGTCTTGATGTATGTGGAAATTTTTTAGTGACTGCCACTCTTCAAGGAATTGTCAAGTTATGGGATCTCTCTAGAAGGTATGAAAGCTTACTCTAGTGGAAATCTCTAAGTTAAAATTGATTCATGAAAAATTGCTCATTGTAACTCTTGAGAATTTGTGTTAGTGGAAGGTTTCCTTTCTTGATATAAAATGTGATGTTTTGGATTAAGTTTATGAGGATTTATGTACTGGTATGGCTTCATTAGTATTCTAAGAAAGTTTTTCAAAATCAACCTTGCATTGTGGTATGATGCATTCATAATTAGATTTCATTTATTTGGCATGTCCACAGTCAGGTATATAGTGGGGTCACCCTGGCATCAGTGAGTAACTATTCTTCACGAGCATAAATTAAACTCACAGCCAGTGGTTTGAGGATATTTCTTTTTAGAGCAAGAATAACAAAACATCTCAATAATATACTTACTGTATGTTCTTAACCATAAGCTCATTGTTCTCCCTTCTCCCATGTCATATGAGTGCAAGCTATTCCCCCCAAAATTATGAAAAAATATCAAAAGAATGAAAAAATTAAGAATATAAGATTGAAGGAAAACTTCAGCATACCATCACTGGTCCATACTTGGCAGGCTATTATCAAATCCAACCCCTCTCACTTGTCAAATCCAACCCCCTCAAACTTGTCAAATCCAACCCCTCTCACTTGTCAAATCCAACCCCTCTCACTTGTAAAATCCAACCCCTCTCACTTGTAAAATCCAGCCCTTCTCACTTGTCAGATCCAACCTCTCTTAATTGTACAGTCTCTTTCTAAAATTACCCAGGGTTAATTAAAGCTTTAGTAACCCTACTAAAATTGATGAACATCAAAATGGTATACAATACCGACAGGTTGTTAGGTAAGACACATATGCAACAGTTAGACAACTTTATTCCGAAACGTTTCGCCTACACAGTAGGCTTCTTCAGTCGAATACAGAAAATAGGCAGGAACAGTAGAGATGTGAAGATGATGTAATCAGTCCATCACCCTTGTAGTCGTAGAATTTGAGGTTGTCAGTCCCTCGGCCTGGAGAAGTTCAGTTCTCTGACTATGGAACTGAACTTCTCCAGGCCGAGGGACTGACAACCTCAAATTCTACGACTACAAGGGTGATGGACTGATTACATCGTCTTCACATCTCTACTGTTCCTGCCTATTTTCTGTATTCGACTGAAGAAGCCTACTGTGTAGGCGAAACGTTTCGGAATAAAGTTGTCTAACTGTTGCATATGTGTCTTACCTAACAACCCTACTAAAATTGTATACAGTACTGCTAGTATTAGAAATTAGACACACATGCAACACCTGGGTATCTTCGTTTGAAGATATGTTGCCAACTACAGACTTTTTCACTTCTGTGGTGTGATAGTATATGAAGATAGTTGATGAGGTAAGCAGTCCCTCATCCTTGCCAAACATTACACAAAAGAGAGTGGAAGATGAAATAATCAGTCTCTCAGCCTGGAAGCTGATGTTCAATATTTTAGTCTTGATGGATCTGAAGCATGGACAGGAAGAGGGACTCATATATGCTCGAGTCAGAGGAGGTGCAGTAGTTGAAGTCACATCACAGGTGAGTAGGGCCCGCTAGTGGAAGTACATCATACCCTAAAGATGGGCCAGAGGTTAGCAGTGTTAGAGGATATCTTCTGCATATATTTGCTAACCTCTGGACCCTTTCTTAGGTATGACTTCAACTGCTGCACTTCATCTGACTCCAGTATGTAAGAGTCCATCTTCCTGCCTATGCTTCACTTTCATCAAGACTTAGGTACCAAACACCAGCTTCCAGATTGAAGTACTGACTACCTCATCCTCCATTGTCTTCTGTGTAGAGTTCTGCAAGATTGAGAAACTGATTACCTTATCTTCTACTGTCATCATATATCAGCCAGTGTGGACAGTTCCACACATACATTCGATACATTTTGTATTGCAGTGGTCCCTCGTTTTTCGTAATTAATCCGTTCCTGGAGGTGCTACTATTATCGAAATCTTCAATTTTCGAATCAATTTTCCCCATAAGAAATAATGTAAATACAATTAATCCGTTCCTGACACCCAGAAGTATCAACAATTTTTTTTTACCTTAAAGATAGATTTACATGCACAAAAGAATGAACATTCAACATGACAGTTACCTTTATTAGAACATAAGAATGGAGGAACACTGCAGAAGGCAGGTCCATATCAAAATGACCTCTACCCAAAGCTACCCAAGAATTAACTCCGTACCCAATGACACTAATCAAACCCAGCCCTTCCCACTCATAAATTTGTCCAATCTCTTCTTAAAGCTACCCAAGGTCCTAGCCTCTATCACCCCACTGGGAAGATTGTTCCACGCATCCACAACTCTGTTAGAAAACCAGTACTTACCTATGTCCTTTCTAAATCTAAATTTATCCAACTTAAATCCATTATTTCTGGTTCTTACCTGGTTTGCACCCTCAATACCTTATTAATATCTTCCCTGGATATGCCCGTCATCCACTTATACACCTCAATATCTCCTCTCATTCTCCTCTCATTTGGACTTCTGTTACTTATACTTCTTGAGATAAATCCAAGTAATCTGTTGGCCTTGTTGTGCACACTAAGGCACTGCTGTCTTGGCTTTAGATTTCTGCTTACCATGACTCCCAAGTCTTTCTCACATTCTGCATGATCAAGCTCTGCTTCACCTAGATTATAGCTTCAAGGGTTATTTTCATTACCAAGGGCAAGTACCTTACACTTATCCACATTGAACTTCATCTGCCATTTTTCAGACCAAGACATTAATTTGTCCAAATCGTCCTGGAGTTCATTGATATTCTCCTCAGAGTGAATTATACGGCCTATCTTTGTATCATCAGCAAATTTTCTCATGTCACTCGTAATCCCTTCATCAAGGTCATTAATGTAGATTATGAACAAGAGAGGGCCTAAAACTGATCCTTGTGGAACACCACTGGTGACTAATCCCCATTCAGATTTCACTCCATTAATGGTAACTCTCTGCTTTCTATTGGAAAGCCATGCCTCAATCCATGCTAGAACTTTACCTCCTATACCATGAGCTGCCACTTTTCTTAAGAGTCTCTTGTGAGGTACTCTGTCGAAGGCTTTACTAAAATCCAAATAAACAATATCATATTCCTTATCACTGTCAACTGCCTCAAATGTTCTATTGAAGAGCGTCAGTAAGTTTGTCAGGCAGGAACGACCTCTCTTGAATCCATGCTGAGATTCATTTATCAAGTTATGCTCTTCAAGGTGACTTCTGATAATGTCAGCTATAATTGATTCTAATAACTTGCCCACTATAGATGTCAGGCTTATTGGATGGTAATTTGAAGGAGTGGACTTATCCCCTGATTTGAATATAGGAACCACATTAGCCATCATCCACAACTCTGGCACAACACCGGTAAGGATGGACGCATTGAATACACTCGTTAATGGCTGACTAAGCTCTATCTTGCATTCCTTAAGCACCCTGGAAAACAACTCATCGAGTCCCGGGGACTTATTTTGCTTCAGTTTGTCTATCTGTTTAATAACCATGTCCCTCGTGACAGTAATATTAGTTAACTTAAATTCATCAGGAACTAAATAATTGTTAATTACTGGAATCTCATTTACATCTTCCTGTGTAAAAACTGACAAAAAATAGTCATTAAATAAGGAACATATTTCCAGTTCATTATCCGTCAGCTGTCCATTCCCAGTTTTCAGAGGTCCTACTTTTTCCTTCACCTTCGTCCTATACACTTGGAAGAACCCCTTTGGATTAGTCTTTGATTCATTAGCAACTCTAATTTCATAGTCACGTTTAGCCTTTCTAATCGCCTTTTTTACTTCTCTTTTAAGCTGAACATATTGGTCAGTAAGGTTAACCTCTCCTCTTCTGATGCGCCTATAAATTCCCCTTTTCTCCCCTAATAGATGCTTTAGCCTCCTGTTAACCCATTTGGGATCATTATTATTAGACCTAATTTCTCTCTGGGGAATGTATATACTCTGGGCACTGTGTACATTATTAAGAAAACAATCATAAAAGCAGATCCCTTCATATTCATAAGTATGATTATCGTCAATAAAATCATTAGCTAGATAACCCCAATCAAGATTAGACAGATGTTCCCTAAGTCCATTATAATCGGTAGAACGAAAATCAGGGATTTTTACTGTATTATCATTATTCTTGCATTCCCAATTAATGCTAAAAGTGATGGATTTGTGATCACTTGCGCCAAGCTCTTCAGTGCTCTCCAGATTATTCACGAGTGTTTCCTTGTTTGACAAGACTAGGTCTAGCAAATTATTACCCCTGGTAGGTTCAGTTATGCTCTGTTTCAGAAAACAGTCCTGAACTGTTTCCATAAAGTCACTGGACTCTAGATTACCTGTCAAAGAATTCCAGTCAATTTGACTAAAGTTAAAGTCCCCTACTATGACTATGTTACTGTGTCCAGAAGCCCTAACAATTTCGTCCCAAAGAAGTCTCCCTCTATCGTGATCCAAGCCTGGAGGTCAGTATATTACACCTAGAATTAGTTTTTCTTGACCCTCCACGAACTCTACCCAAACAGACTCTGTTACTGCTCCATCTATTTTTATACCTGTTTTTATGCAACAATTAATATTTTCTCGAACATACAATGCAACTCCTCCCCCCTTCCCATTACATCTATCCACATTGAACAACTTAAATCCCTGAATATTACACTCAGCAGTCATATCCCGACTCTTTAAATCATACCACGTTTCAGTTAATGCAATGATATCAAAGTTCCCAGCACATGCTACCAAACGTAGTTCATTAATTTTATTTCTTGCACTTTGACTGTTAGCATAAAATACCATCATATGTTTTTTCTTCTGCACATTTTTCTTATTCATCTTTGTTTTTACACAATTTCTGAAATTATCATTACCCAGAGTTACTCCATGACAGTTACTATTAAGATTCTTAATATCAGAGCATAAGTCAATACAGTGGACCCCCGCATACCGTCGGCATCACATAACGTTTAATCCGCATACCG